GCACGATGACAAAAAAAAAAAAACAAACAGGCAGAGACAGGATTCCTAAAAAGTGAACCAAATCACTATCTGATAGGTCTCCCATTTCATACCTGAATAAACTGAGTGAAAATTCATAAGTTGTCTGTTAATGTGCTTTGTGATAGCAATAATTTTTTTCCAAAATTTGGAACTCCATAGTATTGGAAAAGTTATGGTTAGTAGGCCTATTGGTAAAACTCGCGTTTATTAGTTGAAAAAACATTTGCGAGAAGAAAGTTTTGAGGACAAAAGAAAATAGTTGCAAGACGATAATATGACTACAGTTATTGGAATTCCATAATGCTAAAGAAGAACATGACTGCTCCTTTGTTTTGGCTGTACACCTATTAATATTAGAAATATCCTAGTCGTTTTAATATCACATTTAATGCATCAAAAAGCCAAATTATATTACAATGCAATTGTACTTAACATAAAGAACATCACCATTGGTGGAGTGGAGCCATTGTTCAAACGTTTGACGAAGTAAGTTTGGTGAGTCGAATGGCCAAGTGGTTAGCAGGGGCGCCGCAAGCTATAGCCATAATATCGGCGCTGGTTCGAACAGCACGCTCGCCTAATGGTTCTGGTGGTAGAACAAGTCTTCTCAGATAAAGATTATAAACCGTAGTCCCAGTGTATACAATGGCTTGTGTGCACTATAAAGAACCCAATACATCCTTCGAGACGAGTAGGGGGATACCCCAGTGTACTGGAACAGACAGCCCTTGTGGTGGACGATGAGATTTGCTGGTACCGGGTTATCAGGTAGCACAGACACGAAGGGACCCTTAGGGGCGAAGAAAGTCATTGGTCAAGTTCCTAGTCCACATATCAAGCGCCCTGAGCATCTTACATTAGATGGATATGTGCACTATATAAAACAACACTATTACTATTATTATTAACAGACAAATGCTTTCTAATAATATTAATGATTTTAATGGCTCTAAATGTATTCATGATTTTAATTGACAGAGTAATATGTTTCTGGTAACCTTTTGGTATGTTAACTCAGAAATTCGGAATGTACTCTTTCGTAATTACTGTACCAGCTTTTACGGATTCCCAATTTTACCACTGTTCGATGATAAAATTGAGAATATCTACAGGGCATGGAGGGTATATTAGTTTCATTAACAAGGCTCTTAATTGCACCAATTCAAAAGCTCAACACATAACTGAAATGGGTCTGTTTGGATCGTATTCAACATTGGTTAGAAAACACCTTGTTTTTCACGGCCTGTCACCGATCATATGTAAAAAGTAACATTAAAACTCAGAATAAATTGGTGTAAAAGCAGTGCTTGGACGTTTTTGGAAGGTCACTGGAAACATCAAAGTTTGTTTGAAAAGGTTGAATTCACTTTGGCCCTCCAACCGATTTTTATGCCCACCCCTGTTAAATAATTGCGTTCCTTGTTATGTAGTAAGATTAACAGTATTGGCACATTATTTTTCAATCTTTAAGAACATCGGAAATTTAATGACTTTTGTGTTATTTAGTTTGTTGAGTACAGCACTGCCTATAACTTACTTTAAAAATGCAAAGCAATTCATATTTATTTTATATTTGATTATAATATATTTAGTACATAATCCTGTAAATTTCTTCATATTTTGAAAATTGATTGTAAAAAAGAATACTTTAATTACAATAACTTCAAAAATAAATAATTTCGAGCATTAATGTTTAAAACTTAAAATTTAGTATTTTAGTAACTCATCTGCTCTTCTCTATTTTGAGCTCAAGCCCTTTAGACTATCATATTTCATTTGACAAAAACATGTGACATGCCTAAATATGGTCATGATGACATCACATCATGACCATATATAGGCACATTGTTACTACATGGGTGAATAACCAACCATTTTTTGTCAAATAAAATTTGATAGTCTGGATAGAGCTTCAAAGACCTCCCATAAGCAAGTTGCTGCTGTCTACCAATTCAATTCAATATACTCACAGTAAACACTCTACACAATTATTTTAATCATCATTAAACAATATTATTATAATAATTATAAGGATAACATTAATAAAAACTATTCCAACACATTGTTTCTCAGTGATTTACCAACCCCTTGCTATCCGGCGATGTCCCAGACACTTCTCCTCAGTAATGTCCCCATCTTTTGTTTCAACGTTGTCGTGCCATACTTCTTCAGCCATTGACTGCTTCTTCAATGGCTGATAATCAGGTGACTAGTTTCGACCAATGGTAATATCTGTTACAGTGCCTTTAAAATGACCACTACTCATGTGATTGTTTCCTGAAAACAAATTAAAAAAGTATTTAATATTCATAAATAACAATAATAAGAATAATAATAATAACACTGATCATCTGTTATCATTTAATATGTACCCTAAATGCAGCTGTTCTATATGTAATAATAATAATAATATGTCGTCCTTATATAGAACTTCATGCACAAAGCCCTTAAACACACACATTACTACCCCAGTCGTGGAATCAAACACATATGGAACACATACCGAACACCAAATTAAATTATTAAATTAAATTATATTATTATTCCATAATATTGTCACATTTACATGCATGGAAGTGGAGTTAGTCATAATATTAAAGTTATTCATGTCTTACAGATTTGAATCAAAAACCCTAGAAAGCATTAGAAGTTAAGCACTGTATTCACCAAACATAAAAAATGCATTTACCATTGCTGTGATGATATATTCAATATTTCTGCAACACGAGGATTCTTATTGAGATCTGCCGGAGTTTTCCCTTTTTTATTCTTCACCTCAAGGCTTGCTCCATTGGCAACCAAATACACTGCAATGCAAGCAGCAGAGTTGGGTTCTGGAGCAGGTCTTTTATCATTTATACCAGCTGCAGCAAGTAACTACAATAAAAAAAAAAAAAAACAGAAAAACATTTTCTTTTAATAAATTTCTTTTGCATCATCATTACCTACTGTAATTATAGCATTATTTACTTATTTATTTATTTATTTGAATGATGAATATTTTTGAATGGATTGATTGATTGATTGTTCAATCAGTTTATTAATTTGAGAATAATTGATTGCTCAATCAATTGATTGCTGTAGAATGATTGAAAGATTGATTGAATGATTGATGAAATGATTGATTAATGGATTGATGGATGGATAAATAGATTGTCAGATTGATTGATTTGTGGATTGATTGATAGATGGATGGATTGATGTAATGATTGATTGGTGGATCGATAGATGGATAGATTGATGTAATGATTGATTGGTGGACTGATGGATGGATAAATTGATTGATTGATAGATGGATTGATTAATGAATCAATAGATGGATGGATTGATTAATTGATTGATTGAATGGTGGACTGATTGATGGATGGATGGATTGATTGTAGATTGATGAATTAATGAATGGATAAATTGATTGATGGATGAATTGATTGATTGTAGATTGATGAATGGATAAATTGATTGATTGGTGGATTGACTGATAGTAGATCGATGGATTGATGGTTGGATTGACCAATTAATTGATTGATTGTAGATTAATGGTTGGATTGATTGGCAGATTGATTGATTGGTATATTGATGGATGGATGGATTGATGTAATGATTGATTGGTGGATTGATGGATGGATGGATTGATTGACTGATTGATTTTTAGATATATGGATCGATTGATTGGTAGATTGATAAGCTTACCGAACGAACTAAATCAGTGCTATCATCGGTACTTCCTTGGAGATCATTGATTGCTTGTTTAATCATCAATGTATGCAAGCAAGTATCGCCATCATTGTCTGTGGTATGAACATCCGCTCCCGACTCTACGAGTACCTCAACAGAGGTCTGGTGGAATTCCTCAACAGCACTCATTAATGGCGTTGCTCCTCTGTTATTTTTCACCTCCAAGTTTGCTTCTCCCTGAAACATTTATAATTATAATAGCTATAATAGTAAAATTATTGATAAACATAATAATAATATCAGTAGCAATTATATTAATAACATCAACAAAAACAATAATAATAATAACTATTATTATTATTATTGTTTTTGTTGATGTTATTATATTATTAACATCAACAAAAACAATAATAATAATAACAGTTATGATAAAAATAAATGAGAAAATGACATATCTATATAAACAGGAATGTAATAGTTTGGTTAAATTAACATATTAATATAGCACTGTTGAGCGTGAATGAAAAAAAAACATGCAGACATAATAAACAACTCCCCCACCCCTCAAAAAATTTACAAAAACACAAATAAGCATTATGATTCGTCCAGGAAGGTATTGACAAAGGAGACTAAACAACACTTTAAATATCTTATATGCAAATTGCCTTTGACTTTTACAGTGCTCTTATTTCATTTTTACACCATAGTTAAGCCTTGATATTAATAAGTTTAATTGCTACCTTATTTATTAGAACCTTGGCAACTTCTACGTGGTCATTTACCACAGCAACATGGAGAGCTGTGAAACCATCTTTCTTTTTCTGATCCACTAAACGTTTTCCAGCTGGCTGCTCCACGATCATTTCAACAGCTCTGTTGGATCAATTAATCATTAATTGAGAAAGAGGAGCGGTTGAGGGGTTGTGGTTCCCGACTCTCAAACTTCACCTCAGGGAATCAAACCCCTTGCTGTGCATTTTGCTTGTGTTTATATCTCTCAACCTCAGAGTATATTAAACTGTGCGCAAAGCAGCATGCCAAGTATACTCCCAGCGAGCAGATTTCAGTAAAGTAATCTGTGAAGCAAATCATCCTCTTAACCTACTTCTTGGTACAGCTTCAGTGAAGTACAGTTTGGCAGAGGTTCCCAAGTCTCTTGAACTCGTGGGAATCTCACGGAAATTGGGACCACCTCCCACACTCCTGCAAGCAATGACGAGTCTCCCGGAAATTACCCATCTCTGCAAATTCATAATTTTGCAAGTTTTCACTGCTTTATTATAAATTTTATCACAGAAGTCAGTGCAAAAAGGTATGACTAGGCGCAGCAAAATAATAAG